CACCAGCACTTCAGAATAACACCAATCCAGAACAGAATTCATGAAGAGTCAGCCCTCTTCTTTATTACTCCTTCCTTTCCCCCTGCTTTCTAACTCATGTATTGCCTATCCTCCCCAATTCTCAAAGCTACTATGGTCAGTTCTATGCATAACACTGTCCACACCCTTGGCTGTATACAGTCAACATACAGTAACAGGACCCTGCACTCTTTGATCTGAATGCTTAGGGCCGCCAGCTTACTCTACAGGATAATCAAAATGTCATGATGTTGTACCATTATGTTGTATGGTGCTGGTTAGTGCAGAGGTTCTCAAACTGTGCTCCACGGACCACCAGTGGTCTGCGAGCTGCATTCAGGTGGTCCACGGATAGTTCCCTTTAAGTTGCGCAGGCGTGGCTCCACTAATTAGGTGCCTTGACCCTGGAGAAGATGCACATGTAAGGTGAGGTGATGGCCTTGGGGGGAATAGGGGGTAGGTGGGAGGGGACAGTGGGGTGAGAAGAGGGGGTGGGGGGAATTTGGGACCTGCAGGGTTGCGGCGGCCAGAGAAAGCGGTGACTTTCCCCAGCTCCAGGGCTGCGGCTGCTGGGGAGAGACGGCCCTCCATCCCAGCTCCAGCTCGGGGGATACTGCGATGGGGGAGAGAGGGAGATCCCCCTCCTTCCCAGCCCCAATTTGGGGGCTCCCAAGGCGGGGGAGAGAGGGCACATCCATCACATTAGAGAGGTAAGACTACTGATATTAAAATATGAGGTTTTTTTAACCAAAGTGCTTTGTGCCAGATATTAAACTGATAAGAACAGATATAACTTAGATAATATTTTTACTTCTAGATAATATTTTTACTTCAAGGTCCCAGAGACACAGACAAGGTTTTCATCTCAAGGCCAAAAGACCAAAAACATCAAGACACTTGATCATGGCCATGGATAGGCCAAGAGACTACTGACACTTGATCTGAGCTCCGAGGAGCCGAGAAACATTCATATGCCCCTTCATGCTTCATCCACCATTCCAGAGGACATGCTTCCAGGCTGATGATGCTCATTAAAAAAATAATGCATTAATTAAATTTGTGACTAAACTCCTTTGGGGAGAATTGTATGTCTCCTGTTCTGTTTTACCTGCATTCTGCCATATATTTCATGTTATAGCAGTCTGGGATGATGACCCAGCACATGTTCGATTTAAGAACACTTTCACAGCAGATTGACAAAACACAAAGGACCAATGTGAGATTTCTAAGGATAAATACAGCACTCCACCCAAGGTTTAAGAATCTGAAGTGCCTTCCAAAATCTGAGAGGGATGAGGTGTGGAGCATGCTTTCAGATGTCTTAAAGGAGCAATACTCCGATGCGGAAACTACAGAACCAGAACCACCAAAAAAGAAAATCAACCTTCCGCTGGTGGCATCTGACTTAGATGTTGAAAATGAACATGCGTCTATCCGCACTGCTTTGGATTGTTATTGAGCAGAACCCGTCATCAGCATGGACGCATGTCTTTTGGAATGTTGGTTGAAGCATGAAGGGACATATGAATATTTAGCACATCTGGCACATAAATATCTTGCGATGCCGGCTACAACAGTGCCTTGAGAACACCTGTTCTCACTTTCAGGTGACATTGTAAACAAGACGTGGGCAGCATTGTCTCCTGCAAATTGTAACCAAACTTGTTTGTCTGAGCGATTGGCTGAAGTAGGACTGAGTGGACATGTATTCTGTGTTGTAATTGAAATCAATATATTTGAAAATGTAGAAAACATCCAAAATATTTAAATAAATGGTATTCTATTATTGCTTAACAGTGCGATTAATCGCAATTAATTTTTTAAATCACTTGACAGCTAGGGTGACCAGAAGTCCTGATTTTATAGGGACAGTCCCGATTTTTGGGTCTTTTACTTATATAGCCTCCTATTACCCCCCCACCCCAGTCCCGATTTTTCACATTTGCTGTCTGGTCACCCCTATTGACAGCCCTAATTTAAATAGGTGGATTTAATGCTGGGGAAAGGTGCTGCATTACCCACAGGAGAGGTACAGCATGGGCAGGGATAGGGCAAGGTTCCTTGCCCAGTCTGACAACCTGCCCCAGCCAGAATCAGATGCCCCTTCAGAACCAGAGGGGAGCTCTGTCTCCACGGCCCACTTGTACCCCAGCTTATCTGCGAAGGGCTGTGTGTGTGTGAGAGCGAGTGTGTCTGCCAGAGCTGCTGTGTGAGTGGCTGTTGGTATTTTGTGAGTGAGGGTACGTCTACACTACGAGATTAATTCGAATTTAGATAATTCGAATTTGGGAAACAGATTGTATAAATTCGATTGTGCGCAGCCACACTAAGCACATTAATTCGGTTTTTAACCACATTAATTCGGTGGTGTGCGGCCACACTACCCCATTAATTTTAACCACATTAATTCGGTGGTGTGCGGCCACACTACCCCTAATTCGAATTTACAAAATCGATTTTGGTGCTACTCCGCTCGTAGGGGTGGAGTACAGAAATCGATTTTAAGCACCCTTTAATTCGAAGTAACTGGCTCCGTTGTGTGGACGGGTTAAGGATTAATTCGGATTAACGCAGCTAAATCCGAACTAAAGTCGTAGTGTAGACCAGGCCTGAGTTGGTGTCTGTGGATGTTTTGGGATATGTGTGAGTGTCTGTGTCTCGGCATGGCAGATTTCCCCGTTTCACTAGCTGCAGTAACTTTTTAGTCCAATTGAAGAGCAATTTGTCCGCATTTGTAGCAGGTTGCAGTCGGAGGCCAGCTAGGGTGACCAGATAGCAAGTGTGAAAAATCGGGACGGGGTGTGGGGGGTAATAGGAGCCCATATAAAAAAAAGCCCCAAATATCAGGACTGTCCCTATAAAAATCGGGACACCTGGTCAGCCTAAGGCCAGCAGGCCTAGTGGGCAGGCCGTGGCTCACCAGTCCTTCCGCCCCCAGAGACCTGGCAGGGGTGATCAACTCACCGAGGATGGACTCAAGTAGCAGCTTGTCAATTCCCAGTGCTCCAGAGTTCTCCCAGACGGACGAGGGGTGAAGGGACAGTAGGGCAGCGTTTTTCAAAGTTTGGGTCGTGACCCAGTACTAGGACACGGCATGTAAGGCACTGGGTCGCCTTGCTCAGCACCCAGGGACCCTAGCGGCTCTGGTCAGCACCGCCGACAGGGATGTTAAAAGTCCCATCGGCGGTGCGGCCCAGCTCCAATACCGTGGTGCGCCCCAGAAGCAGTCAGCAGCGGGTCCGGCTTCTAGGCAGGGGGGCCACGGGGCTCCACGCGCTGCCCCTGCCCCGAGCACCGGCTCCAAAATCCCATTAGCTTGCGCACCTCCACCTAGGAGCCAGACCTGCTGCTGGCTGCTTCCAGGGCGCAGCGCAGTCCGCAGTGCCAGGACAGGCGGGAAGCCTGCCTCTGCACCCCGGCTGCGCCGCTGACCGGGAGCCGCCGGAGGTAATCCGCACCCCGACCCCATGCCCCAATCCCCTGCCCCAGGCCCCCCAAAACCCAGAACCCCTTCCTGCACCTCAAACCCTTCATCCCCAGCCCCACCCGAGCCTGCACCTCCAGCCCTGACCCCCTCCCGCATCCCAACCCCTGTCCCAGCCCAGAGACTCCTCCCACACCCTGAACCCCTCATTCCCAGTCACAGCCCACACCCCAACCCTCTGCCCCAGCCCTGAGCCCCTCCCACATCCCAAACCCCTTAGCCCCAGCTCTGTTGGGTCACGGGCATTAACAATTTTCTTCACTGGGTCCCCAGAAAAAAGTCTGAAAATCACTGCAGTAGGGGAACCCAACTGTCCTGCTCCAGTGAGTCCCTGCCCAGGGCCCAAGGGGGAGAGATGTGCAGTGTCTCGGTTCCCTCTTCCTGGTGCACCTGACCAGCCTCTCCTGGGCCACTTCCTGCCCCCTGCTCTCTTCGGTTTGGGGCCTGCGAGGTCCCGGTCAGCCTCAGCAGCTCAGCCCTCTAACTAAGCATTGCCCAGCGCTCTCCCCAGTGTCCCTGGGTCAGGCCCTGCCCTGCCAGCTGGGCCTTACCCCTCTCCAGTGGCCCACCTGGTCCCAGAAGCTGCATCTGGCTTCCAGCCGTTGGACAGCCTCCCAGACCCTCTCCTCCCTCTTAGCCTGGCAGTGCCCCCCTTCAAGCACATCCCTCACTTGGGGCTTGCTCTGCAGCGTGCCAGGGCCCCCTTGGCCCAGTCCGGCTCCTTCCCTCCCTAGGCCCCCGCAAAGCCCATCGGTCTCCCCAACTCCCACCCACTCCCAGCCCGCTTCTCTTCCTTCCATGCCCGCCCCACACCTCCAGCCCCCCACTTCCTTCCATACCCACCCCACACCCCCTTCTCTTCCTTCCATACCAGCCCCACGCCCCCCCTTCCATGCCCACCCCATGCCCCCAGCCCCCCTTCTCTTCCTTCCA